CCTCGCACATGCGAAGCCTGTTTAGCCAGAGCCTCGTTTCTGAGAGTGTTCCATGTTTTCGATGACGTTTTCTGTGCAGCTTTGGCTTGTTCGGCTTGCAGCTCTCCGCATGCCCCCGCACCCGCCCACGCCATTCTCCTTTTTGTTGTCAATGTTTCCAGTACGCTTGTAGCGTTCTCTGGACTTGACAGTTCCTGCCCATCCCAGAGCTGCAGTCTTAGGCGGCAGACTTCGGTCTCGTTTCCGCTCCGAGGTCGTGTCGGTTGCACCTCGTCGTCGACCTTCGCGCCAGGTCCGTTTCGTGTCGATCAGGGGCGAAAGCTAGAAACGGTGAATGAACAAACGCCCTCGCCGTTCGAGTGAACAAATATAGGGGAACGAAAAGTAACATAAACATAAAAACTCAGAGGTCCGCGCGGATTTCTCGGATTGGCGCTGGGGCCCCCCGGCGGCGCCTCCGGCGCCGCCCCTGGCGCGCTCCGCGCGCCAGGGAGGGGGGTCCAGCGCGGATCCAAGAAATCCGCGCGGACCTCCGAGTTTTTATGCTTATGTTACTTGTTGTTCCCCTAAAATAAGCTCCTGGGGCCCTCAAGAGGCCGTCCTGGGGCCCTTCGAGGGGCCCCCCCTCGAGTGCCCCTCGAGGGCCCTCCAGCGGCGGCGAGGACGAGGAAAAGCCTCGTCCCTCCAACTTCGGTCCTCGTCGGCGACGACGACGACGACGACGACGACGACGACGACGACGACGACGACGATCTCGACGACGATCTCGACGACGACGACGACGACGACGACGACGACGACGACGTTCTCGACGACGACGAGGACGACGACGCGGCTGCCCCCCCGCCCCGAGAGGTGGCGACGCCCGGCGGGTCGTCCGAGCTCCAGTGGAGGGAGCTGGCCAACACCATCGGGGAGATGACGACGTCCCAGAAGCCGCTCGCGCCGCCGCCGGCCCTCGTCGGTCTCGACGTCGACCTCGGCCTCGTCGTCGTGGCCGGCGACGTCTTCGGCCTCGGTGTCCATCCTCGTCGTCGTCGGCGACGGCCTTGTCCTCGTCGTCGTCGTTGTCCTTGGGTTTTTTTCCTCGGCATCGACCTCGCCCTCGCCGTCGTCCTCGTCGTCGTCGTCGTCGACCTCGATGTCGACCTCGACCTTGCCTCCGTCGTCGTCGACGTCGCCGTCGATCGGGGATGCAGGATTCGGAGCGCTTTCAGACCCAATCGGGCCTCCAGTGTTAAGTCGGGCCTGTCCCCCTACAGGGGGATTTTCGACGAAAAATAACAAATACCCCAACAATAATCAAAAAAGTACCCCAAAACCAGTCTGTGGATTTTCTTTTTAGCATGTTTTGACCATGTTGGAATATGTTTGAGAATTGTTTTGTTCGCCGAGAATCCCCCTGTAGGGGGACGCCCGACTTAACTCCAGTGGCGCCCGTCGTGGCTGCGGCGAGATCTGCCTCGTGAGCACAGTCACCGGGCGCGTCCCTACTATACGGGCCGCCCGCAAGCAGGAGCAGGAGGCCGCAGGACCCTCCCCCCGCCCAGCCCGAGCCGCCCGACGTCCGAGGCGAGGGGCCAGCTATACCAGGGGCACGAAGAATGCCGTAAGCAGAAAAACTCGGAGGTCCGCGCGGGTTCCTCGGATCCGCGTCTCACGGGCAGGTCCGGCGAGCGCCGTCGCCCTCTCGCCGCGGTCGGCGACGTGTCGACCACCTCGGCCTCCACCGTCGTCGGCCTGCCCCTCCTCCGAGAGGCGCCTCCACCTCCTCTATGTCAGGAGGTGGAGGAGGAGGAGGAGGAGGAGGAGGAGGAGGATGATAAGGGCGAGGAGGTCGACGAGGATGAGGACGAAGGATGGGGACGAGGACGAGGACGAGGACGAGAACGAGGAGGATGAGGAGGAGGAGGACGAGGACGAAACGGCGTCTTGCGTGCCTCGGGTGAGCTTCTTGGGCCGCGCGGATTTCTCGGAGGACAATGACGTAAACATAAACAACGGAAACAATGGAGACGGGGCCGCTCAGGGAACAATGACGTAAGCAGAAAAACTCGGAGGTCCGCGCGGATTTCTCGGATCAGCGCTGGGGCCCCCCGGCGGCGCCTCCGGCGCCGCCCCTGGCGCGCGGAGCGCGCCAGGGAGGGGTCCACCACGGATCCAAGAAATCCGCGCGGACCTCCGAGTTTTTATGCTTATGTCATTTTCCCTTCCCCTATCCACCTCCTCTACGTCAGGAGGAGACAACATACACACAGCCACCATGAATCAGCGGTTCCCCAGAAAAGATGTGGGAAAACATGGGAAGTGGGGGGGAAGACAAACAGCCCAGAAAGTATGGGAAAATGTAGGGGAATCCTGGTATTTGTGTCTACTCCAGATTTCGTAGTAAAAGGGATGGGGTCTGGACCCTCCAAGACAAGCCATTTCAGACCCCCCCCGTGGGAGAACCCTCCAAAACATCGTCCCCAGACCCCCCCAGGCCCTCCAAGAGAGCCTG